GCTACTCACAGTGAATGACTTATTATCAGCAGATGAGAAAAGCTGGGATGTTGACCTTGTAAATCAAACATTTGATCCTTTTACAGTTGCTGAAATTTTAAAAAACAATTGAGCCAGTTTCCAAAAACAGATAAATTAATTTGGGATCAAGCAAAAAATGGAACCTTCTCTGTCAAATCAGCTTATGACTTTTACATAAAGCAAATAACAGGAAATACTCTAGCCTCTTCAAGTTCAATTGACAGGAAATTGAAGAGAATGTGGACTGTGACATGGAAGCTGAACATTCAACCTAAGCTGAAATACTTCTTGTGGAGGCTATTGCATGATTTCCTGAGTACAAAGGCTAAGCTGAGGGATAAAGGTATCAATGTAGATCCTATTTGTCTGCTTTGTGGGGAAGACATTGAGACTCTCAATCATCTGTTTATTCAATGTCCCAAAACATCAACATGTTGGAAACTAATAGGAGTAGAATGGGAAGAGTCCAAAAATCCTCATTTTAATTTTTTTGGCTGGTGGGAATTATTGTGCAATAATAAGAATATTCACTGTTGGGAGGACAAAATGACTATTTCTGTTTGCTTACTGTGGCAAATCTGGAAAGCAAGGAATAAGGTCATGTTTAATGAAGCAATATTCTTAGAAATGGAGGTGGTGGCTGGAGCCAAGAGAGACTGGGCAGAATCAATGGTGGCTAGAGGGTCTTCTTCACATTTAGCAAATCAGCCTCACAAATCAGCTCACTCTACTACTGTAGAAGATTTTTCCAAGAGGGTAGGACTAGTAGAGATTCTAGTCAGTGCCCAAATTTCTTCAGAAGGTAGAGTTGGTGCAGGGATGATAGTTAAGGTACAAGATAAAGTGGTTCTGGAAGACAGGGGTTGTTTGAATTGGGCTGACAATTCAGAAGAGGCAAACTTATTAGCTATAAGGTGGGCATTCATTCAATCAAGCTAAAGCCCAAGGATGGACTTCACTCAGATTTTTGGTGAATTCGAAAGGCTTAGTTGCTGCACTCAACTCTAGCAGTTCCTCTGACTCTCTCATGCAATCTTCTAATGTAATATTCCAAGACATTATTATTATGACTAAATCCTGTACTTTTTGTAATTTTTCGGTTGGTACTTCGCAGGACTCTAGTTTTTTGGCCAATTTGGCTTTAGAGGGGATGTAATGTAGTTTTTTTGGCCAATTTGGCCAATTTATTTTCGATGAAAAAAAAAAAAAGGACTAATCCAGCCGCCCAAAGCTATAGTTTGGGGGTGAAGGTGTTCAGGTCACTCCTAAGTCCTAACTCGAAAGTACCTCTTTTTTAATTTTTTTATATTCCTGTTAATCGGGTGCAAAGTTCGGTTGCAAATATTTTATTTTTGCTATTTTATTTATCAATTAAAAATAAATATTTTTAATATAATTATTAATTTAAAAATTAATTGTTAGTATACATTTATCTATAAAATTACTATTATTCAATCATATTATTTTATAATTTTATTATCACATAATAATTAAATATTACTCTTTTTATTATCATCATTTTACATCATTAAAATAATTAATTCATCCGATAAATCTTTATTCCCCAATATTTTTTTTTTTCCGACAGATAAAAAATTATATCCAATTCACCCTCATGACTTCGCTCGAGTCGATCCAATAAATCGTGTGGACATAAAATGGGTAAAAAAGAAATGGAGAACGTGAATTGTCCAAGTCCAACACGCTGACAAAGTACGCGGTCGTAATTAATCTTTACCTTTACCCCGAAAAAAGAAAATATATAATATTCAGAATAAATATGTGGGTGGGAAGCGTAAGACTTGAAAAAAATCTTTCTTTTGCGATACAACCGATGCTCTTATAAAAGCCAAACGGCAAAACTACGCAAATACAGAGAGAGAGGACAAATTCTATTCAAAGAAAGCAGAGAATAAAAGGGAGATTTAGGGTCGAGATCCGGCGACTGAGCTTCGTCGGATTTCGTCCATCGTTTTCAAGCTTCATTCAGTTGATCCCGGAAGATTGTCCGATCCGACGCCGGAGAGATGAAGGGCACCTGCGCGCTCGTCGCTTCCGTCGTGGCCGCGTCCACCGTCGCCGCCACGTCCTGCGCCGATAAGGTTTTGATCTGGCCTCGCACATTGTTAATTTCAATTTTTCATGCCCCCTTACTTGCAATTGGGGTTGATTAGTAGTGGTAATTCTGGTTTATCGCCTTATGTTATTTGTTGATTAATTCGTAGGGCAAATCTGTGAATAATCGCGGAGGCTCGGCTGGGAAGGAGGAAAAATATGCGCCGAGATTTGATGGGTTGAGGTTCATAGAGACCCTGGTCACGGCCCACAGGTGAACGATGAACGATGATTCACATGTTGTTGGTTAGAATTTGTTTCGATCAAAATGCGGATTGTGTGCAGTGTGATTGATTTGTGAATGACTGTGTTGTCATCATATGGAGTAGATGGGTAGGATTTGTGACTGGTTTTTTCAGAATTGTGTGGTGTCTTATGAGTTATATTGGTGACAGTAAAGTGTGA